CCACGTGTGATAACGTCCATAGTCAATGCTAATGCTAAACAGCTCTTCTTGACAGGAAATTCTTCCTAGTGTTTTAGGTGGAAACACTGTTCTTTTAATTTGAATCCTGTGGTTCAGATCCGATCTCATCTTTTAAATCTGACTGCTTGAATTTGCTCAAGATCCCAAATATTTAATTTCTACTCCTTGTTACTCAAGAAGCTAGAATGCAATGCAAGGGTAGCAAGTTTCTGCCACATATTTTTTCATGAGAAGGAATATCCTCCTGCGGGGAAAAGCACCTTGGGATAAATTGTGAATGAACATAATCTCTGACACTTCACAGCATCTTTATGGATCATAGGGTATGTCGTCATCGTTTGAAGTATCAGTATCTATTTCCTGGCTTTGAGGAGGGTGAGCCAACACGGGAGAGCCTTAACTGGTCTTAAAGTGGTGGGTGTTTTGAAAATCACTGACTAAGCCATCAAACCAGTGAACAATTGGTATGTTTGTGGCAAATACTGGTTGCCTCCATATGCAAGCTCAATGGGGCATCTCTTGTTAAACAGTAGGAATGTTCCTCAGGTAAATGAATCCTCATCCTTTAACTGCCTCCTCATCCACTTCCCCACCAGGTGGCAGTCTAGTAATTACAAACTGCTCCTTCCATTTGTATTCTTGCATCATGACAAAATATGCCTTTTCTAGGCATATGTAGCGTCATATCCCTGATGTCCCCTACGAGACCACCCACCAATCATTCATCCGGTTGAACTTTGCTAAATATGGTCTCTGTACAAATGTTTTGCTTTCTCATTTTAAAATGAACTGTGGATACACATTTAACACTTAATGACAGAACGTCTATGAGTGGCATTTTGCATTTTGAAAAAACACCCACTAGAGTGGAGAAATAGTTTGCATTGTAAGGAAAGAGTATTAAGAATTCAAAGTGCATAGAAAAAGCTTTCAGAAAGTAATCCAGCATTCAAAGTTCAAACTTTGGCTCCCAGAAAGGTTTGAAACATATTAGATTCTCCTTCATTTTTAAAATCCAAATAGGATTTAAAAGGAGCAATAGAAGAGCCAGACAGAAACTGTATTTAAATAATGTTTTTGCAAAATTTGCTTCTATGATTCATTGAATGAAAAATGATGTGTTCAGCTATTTTTAATCCAGTTTTGTACAATGATCAATCATCTTTTCTCACTACATATATATATCAAGATTAATGTGACTTCTGTGGAGAATGAGCATGTACAATTTTGCACATTCATGAGTTCATGAAGAATACACACAGACAAAAATCATGAATCAGACAGTTTGCATGATTGATAGTCAACATGCATAATCTCAGAATAATGGGGGACTTGTGTTCATTGTCCAAAAATGTTAGTCAGGTAACATATACATGGGTCAGTGTACTTATGTAACATTACCACTCTAGAAGCCTTTAAAAAAGGCTGTTAAAATGGATCTCTTCCGGCAGGCCTTTCCAGATTAGCCTCTGCTCCACTGATATTGATATCCCCCATCTGCTCCAAGAAAGATAGATGTCTAGCCTCCAACTACCTCTAATTTTTAGTTAATTTGTTATGTCTTTCACTTTTAATTTAGTATTTTATATTGCTATTTGTTTTATATTGTTATTGTTTTTAGTTTGCTTCCTTTTTATGATTAGGAGGGGGGTTGGGGCAGGGGATTATTTAGAAATGTGTTTTTTAATTGTATATTGTATTTTATTGTTACTCTTACTTGTTGTAACCTACCTCGATCTGCAGGGAGAAGCAGGCTATAAAAATGTATTATTATTATTATTATTATTATTATTATTATTATTATTATTATTATTTGCAGCATGCTTGCAGGTTTCCTTGTGAAAACTCATATGGCAATGAACATGTTGGTCTTTAAGCTGCCACAACCATTTTGCTATTATTGGTGCAAAAGATGAACACAGCTGGTGTCTGTGGGAATTGCACGTGTTTTGACAACATGTGTATTGGACCATTAAGGAAATGGTAATGAAAAATGTAATTGCAAAATCAGTGCAAATTTACATCATCAAAAAGCTTGTGTCTTTACCACCTTTGTAACTCAACTTTCCTGCAAGTGAATTATCATTCTGAACAGAGACACAGTGTGTTGAAAGAGGGAGTTCTTGGAAATGCACTGGATACTTAGATACTGGAGACAAATTGTACAAATAGTATAAAATATTTAAAACCATGCATCACTTTTCCTATATTTTTATAGCTGGGACAGGAAAATAACTACAGAACTGTTGGCATATCAGCTAACAGCTACAATAGAAATGAAAAAATTTGGACAGTCTATAAATGTTCTGCTGGTTGAAGTATGAATGAAGGTGGGGTTTTTTTTTTTTAGTAAATAACAAAATGAAAGAAAAAGAAGAAATTTGGTTGGAAACAGAAGACAACAAACAAACTTTAATTCTTTGGTTCTAATATATTAATTTCTGGAACAATTATTTTTGTGGGGAAAAGCAATCTATAAAAATGTTGTTCCTTCTCCGAACTGGATAATGTTAGGATGGAACTGTAATATTATTCAGT